GCTCCTAAGGGGTGTTTAATTGCAATTCACTCTAAGGCTAATAACTGTATCAAAAAACTAAACACCTCTTTCACTCATCTACCCAACTTTAATTTTAGAAAGTTAATATTCTTGCAAGATTCACTAGAAGTCAAAATGCCCACAAACTTAAAAGTTACTATCCAGCTACCTTTATCCACATGTGAAATTCCAAGATAAATAAATACACTGTCCACACAAAATTAGCTGTTATTAAGAGAAAGTATTTCTAAATGTAACTTTTTATCTAAAATTCTCTGAAAAATTTATGAATCATTTTTTAAGGATAGAACAATTCCTACATTATTCACTTATTATACGAATGTTAGTCTACACAAAACAAACAACTTGGCCTATAAAATTAGTCTCTAACAGGAAGGCAATTTTTTCTTGTTGGCTCTAATAAATACAGTGTTCATTCATAATTTTAAGTATTTGTCAACAGAACTTGAAAGTGACAATTCAATCTGCTATATCACCCCCATTCTGCCTCAATAAAGAACAGTTCAGACCTGACCATTGTGGCTCAGTTGGTTGGGCAACAACCCAAAAAGCAGAAGATTGCTGGTTCTATCCCCAGTCAAGGCACATGCCTGGGTTGCAGGTGCGATCTTTGGTTGATCATCCTTTCTCTCTCACACTGATGTTTCTCTCCCTCTTGTTCTCCTTCCCTTCCCCTCTCTCTAAAAATGAAAACATGAAAACTTAAAAAAATCAAATAAAAAGACCAGTTTAACTACAGCCCTGGCCAGGTAGCTCAGCTGGTTTGAGCACCGTTTCAATGCAGGTTCGATCTCCCATCAGGGCACATTGAAAGAAGCAACCAATAAATGCATAAATAAATGGAACAGATTGACATTTTTCTTTCTTTCTCTCTCCCAGCCTCTCTCTCTCATCCTCTTTCTAAAAACTCAATAAACAAACAATTTTTAAAAAGAACAGTTCTACTGTATCTAAATCTGAAGTCTATTTTAAAGTTTCATAATCTGAACTCAGTTATGTCCTCTGAATGAACCTCATACAAGCATCTAAGACAGCCCTCTGAAAAAAAAAGATTTGCTGTGTCTAGTAATATTAACGTTTAATTTATTTAAACAAAGATACTGTTAAATGAATCATAAAAGATGTGACTATCCTAAAATTTAGAATTCTGAGAGTGGACACCATTCACTGTGTATTGGCATTTTACAGGCACATCACGGTTTCTGAATGGCAGTTACCATGCCTTATTTAATATACAGGGGTGGGGCAGAAATAGATTTAGCATTCTGAGTTTGCAAAACACAGTTTATTCTTATACTATTATTTATTCATTATGTTATTTTCCATACAAACAACTATAAACCTACTTTTGCCCACTCCCTGTATGACTATCCACTACTTAATCCGCCCTGCATTTATTATCTGTTCAATAAGTATTCAACGAATATTTAATCCTCATAGCATCTTATCACAGATAAAGAAATGGAGGCTGAGAAGATGGCTTGCTTGACTAATACCTTAACTTGCCCTAAGTCGTAAAGCTAGTGAAAGTGTCAAAATCTGACTTCAAAATTCATATTCTTTCACTTCTGCCATGTCATCTAAATAACAAATATTTTATTAACAAACACAATAGTTATGTTATCCTTAAATTATTTTCCTGCATTGTTGCTTTTCAAAGAAAAAAATCCTCAGGAGCTACTGTCCCTTCAATAGTTCTGCCGCAGACATTTGATCCAGCATCCATTCCTTCTTTCCCAAGACTCCCAGATTTCTGATTAGGGAATTCTATCTGGGGATCCTTGTTGTTCCAATGAAGTCAGCAGTGAACATGTGCCCAATAAAGGCACTGGCTCAAGCTAAGTAGGAGCGAACTGCAGAACTTCTGGAAAAGCTGGGAGGACAGTATGGCAGTGCCAGGAGCTGGAGGCAGCCTTCTGTGAATGAGGGAGTCTAGACAACATCATTAAGCCACTGCATAAAGTCTTATTCAAAACAAAACCGTAAATTCCCCTCATATTTTTAAACCAATTTAAATCAGGTTTTGAGTTACATCTAAAAAAATTCAAAACTGAGAGATTTTTATTAATTTGCTTCTCATTTTGATATGTTTTTCACATACTGTTCCCCACTTGGGAAATATCCTTTCCACCTTGTTAATAATGCCTCTCATCTACTGAGCATCTATTATGAAACAGGCATGTATGACGCGTTACACATACATTATCTCAAATATTGAAAACTAATCTACATCCAAAATCTGCAAGATAAACCTTATGCTCACCATTTCATAGGTAACTCAAGTTCAAAGAGACAGTGACATCCTCAATACCGCCTAGCTCACAAGTGGAGCCAGGACTCAAAACCAGGTTTACCCAGCTCATAAATACCTGTTCTTTCAACTGCATGGACCTGCCTGCCATAGAGATCTTGTCTTTGAAGGTCTTTGCTCAGGCATCAAATCCTCTGTGAAACTCTCCCTATCATTTATGTACTTCACAGGTAGCTCATTCAGAGACAGGAAATGTTGTAATATATTGTAACAACATTTATATACTTAGAATGCAAACGCCTTAAGAATAGGAGGATCCAAGTAACACCAGTGACTCCCACTGTGTATAACACAGACCAGATGATCAATAAATATTTGTGGAATCACCACTAAACAGAGATATAAAGCTGTAACTATTATACAATAAACCCCATTAAAATAAACAATTATCATACTGAAATATACTAACTAGTACATACAATGTTTCTGAAATGTGGGATCTAGGAAGAAACTTGTAAATATTTCTTGACATTATGCATTTGCAACAATAAATTAAAAGTTGCCCCATTATGCTTACAGCTACACAGAAATGTCACAAGTCCAGAACAGTAAATACATACATAGTTTTTCAAACCAAATACTTTATTTATGTGTGTGTGTGTGTGTGTGTGTGTGTGTGTGTGTGTGTATCTCAAGGAACCTTGTGCTTTGGTAAAAACAGGATATAATGCACATAATAAATGTCAAATACACTTTAAATGAATTCACTACTGGCTTCATTTTAAAACCAAAGTTGCCCAACATAAGTCACTTAACTCTATTTGTAAATAAAAATCATGAACCAGACAATCTCTAAGATACCACCCAGCTCTATGATTCTGGGATGATTCAATAGTATTACTAATTGTCAGCTTCCCAGAGTGCTTCCCTGAACACCCAATCTAAAACCAACTTTCAGAGGATGTCCCTCCTATCATCCTATTTTAGTACATACTTACCCCTGACATTTTTCTCATTTAATTACCATCTCCCCACTAGGATATAAGTGCCAAGAAACCAAGAACTTATCTGTAGCCCTGAGCCACGTGGCTCATCTGGTTGAGCGTCCTCCCGCAAAGCAAAAGGGGACCGGTTCCCTTCCCGGTCAGGGCACAGGCCTGGGTTGCAGGACTGGTCCCCTGGTTGGGGCGCAAGGGAGAAGCAACCAAACGATGGAGGTTTTTTCCCACATCGACGTTTCTCTCCCTCCTTCTCCCTCCTTTCCCTTCTAAAAATACATTTTAAATCTTTAAAAAAAAATTTTAAGAACTTTGCTGTATTTTTCACAACAGCCCACAACTTCACATAGAACTTCTCAAAGAACCTACTGGGCACCCAATAAATGTTTGTTAAAGCAGTAAGTCATGGAAGACTAACAATGCCTCTTTTTGTCCAACTTAAAAGAAAAAAAAGTAAACAGTACACTACCGAGCAAGTCCTGCATTTTCCAAATATGAATTTTCTCATACGTCGTATACTTTGTCTCAGTATTAACGTTACAAAGGCTTTCTCTCGCTCTCGCTCTCGCTCTCTCTCGTTTTTATTTGGGGAGGGGGTAACCAAATTCTTTGAAAGACTAGTTCAAACAAAAGAACTTAATTAGATGTTTTGGCACAGCAAAACTCTTAGAAATATTTAGTAACCACCACTTCGTCGATAAGTTACTTTGAATCCATGGTAATTAGTGCATAAAAGAGACTTCTTATCGGTTCCAAAATCACCTGCAAACTTTCCAAAAGAAGTTTCACGGTAACAAAAATCTTATCTAAATAGAGCTTAATGAAGCAAAGATGAACACACACACACACCGTCCCAGCTATTCAAGTCGGCAGTCTCCGTTTTTCTGAAACAACGCTGCCTTTCCGTCTCTCCCCAGTTCCGTGTAGAGCCCGGACACTCGGGTGTTGATAGAGCAGCCTCACAGATACCACCACCATCTTCAGAATGACACAGCTTCTAGTCAATACCTTACTGCCAGTAAAACTTTCCCCCAAACTCCTCAGGACTCTCTTTGGACCTTAAAGCTAAAACTCCTGCAGCCTGACATCTGCTGCTCTCCCTCCCTCCCCCGAAATTAATCCTCCTCAACTTTTCCCTAGGGATTCACATCTCTACCATCGAAACATTTTAACCCCGTTACTATTGCTAAGCGCCTGCTTGCTCCCAGGCACTCGGGCACTCTTGACCCGAGGGCGGAAAGCCCGGGCTCTGCGTCCTCCTAGCCCGCGCCCACCTCAGCCTCCCCCCACCCCCTCTACCGGCGCCCGGCAGGTGCCTCGCCCGGCCGACGCGGGGCGGAGCACACAACGGTCCTGCACGGCCGTCCCCAGCCCCCTCCGGTCTTTCCCCTCCAGCGGCACAGGGTCAGCACCTCTGGGAGCCGAGGCCCGAGGGAGGCAGCGCCGGCTCCGCGGGGACCAAAGATGTTCGCCCCGGGCGCCCCTTCCTGACCCCCAGGCCCGCCCACGCCCCACCAAAGAAGGCTGCCCAGAGCCTGGACCCTCGCCCGGAGAAACCGAAAGCGCATCCCCAGCCCCGGAGCTGGGGCCGAGCGCATCCCAGCCGCCGGCCTCGGCCGCCCCGCCCGCCAGCCCCCGCCCCAGCTGCCGCCCCCGGCCGCCCGCGCTCCCACCGCGACCCAGGCACAGCCCCCGCCCGCCCCCACGCCCGCCCTGCGGCCCCCACTCACAAGCTGCCGGAGCAGGAGGTACAGACGAAGGAGCCGACCGTCATGTTCACGTAGGTGGGGCCGCGCTGGTCGCAGTCGAAGCACTTTCGGTTGTGCGGGAGGCCGGTCATGTCCCGCAGCATCTTCAGGTGCTTTTCCTCCTGCTTCCGCTTCGCGCTGGCCGCCATGGTCGCGGTGCCGAGGGAGGAGGCCGGCAGGGCTGGGAGCCGGGCGGCGCTGCGCCGGGGGCCCGCGGTCCCACGGGCCGCCCTGGCCGCCGCCGCCCTCTGTCAGCGAGCACCGCCCGCGCCGGACCTGGCCGCCTCCACTCGACTCGACTGCGCTGGGCTGGGCGCGGCGCGAGCGCTGCGGCGCGCGGGCTGACCGGCCACACCAACCGGCCTGGCCGGGACAACCACCGCCGCCGCCGCCGCCACCGCCACCTTCCCGACTTCTCCAGAGGGGAAAAGACGAGAAAAGGGGACGGCAAGAGAAGGCCCGCCCCGGGCGGCCGGAGGCCAACTGGCGGTTGACGCCCCCTGCTGGCCAGGAGGAGTCACTGCGGCCACGCGGAGGCCTGGGTTCCGGCTGGGGCCAAGTAGGGAACACAGAAAAGTAATGATAATAGTAGACAATATTTACTTGCTCTCTTAAAAGGGTTTAGAGAAAGAAGCATTGCATGGGTTACCTTCTCCCCCTACTTAAAGCTCTCCAAGGGCTTCCCACTGCTTTGGCGATAACTCCAGGCTCCCCACTGTGCCCTAAGAAGCACTCCCTCATCTGGCCCAGCCTCCCTTACTCCACACTGGTTTACTCAGCCACACCACATTTCCGTTTGCTCCCTGACCACTGCAAGCTCTCTTGTGACTCAGGACCCTTGCTCTTGCTGTTCAGTCTTTATCAGGGTTTCTAAACTCGCCACAATTGACATTTCCGACTAGATCATTTTTGGCGTGTGGGAAGTCCCATACATTGCAGGATACTGAGCAGCATCCCTGTCCTTTACCCACTAAATGCCAGAACGACCTCCCCCGTAGTTGTGGCAACCAAAAATCCCCAGATATTACTAAATGGGGAGCCCTGGTAGAGAGAGATGAGAGCAACCAGGCAAGAAACCTCTGGCTACTGGGAAGGCCGCATCATCCACGGCAGGTAATGACCCTCGGCCCAATCAGCCCATCCAAAGTTGCAGCCCACCTTCCTGAAAAGTTGCTCTCTGTGAATTTGCTGTGAGGTGTTTGCTTCATCGTTCTAGTATTTGAAATTCTGCTGCTTATTTGGTGTTTCCTCTGTATTACGTGGGATCTCCCTTTAGGCTCAAACCAGCTCGCCCCTCGGAGCCAGAGGCCAAGGTGCTCAGTGTTTATGGAATGAACGCATTCAGTGTCTCATTTAATCCTTCCAGGAACCCTTTGAAGTAAGCATCCTGATTCTTTCCATGTTACAAAGTCTAGATATGTTTCCCAAGGAGACATATGGGAAAACTGGGATTCCCACCCAGACAGTCAGGCTGCAGGACCCAGTCTCTTAATTACTGCAAGAATCCACAGCCAGCAGGATGTTCCAAACTCTTCCTGCCCCTCATTTCCCAAAGGAATAGAAGGAGACCCAGAGAGGGAAGTTTCAAAGTCACTCAGCTGGTGAATGGGAAAGTAGGATTAGAATCCAGGTTTCCTATTTGCCAAGATCCCCCATAAAAGTGACTTGCATGGGAGTTGTCAAGTGAGCCTTCATATTAATATTAATAATAATGTTTTTAATATTAAAAGAAAGAGACAGCCCTAGCCAAGTGGCTCAGCCATTGGAGTGACCAAGAAGTGGCAGGGTTGATTTCCGGTCAGTGCACATACCTACGTTGCAGTTTGATAACCAATCGGGGCTCCTATGAGAGGCAACTTTCTCTCCCATATTGATCAATGTTTCTCTCTCTCTCCTCCCCCCCATCTTCTATCTCTCTCTAAAATCAATTTTAAAAAACATATCATCAGGCGAGGATTACAAGTAACTAACTAAATAAAAGAGAAAGGGACAGACAGATGTTGGATTGGCTAATGGATTTTTTTTTCTATTATGAAAATGTCAAACTCCCATGAGCTCATGGCACACCTTAAACAGTTATCAGCTCATGATTAATGTGCTTTATCTATATCCACTTCCTCCCTGCCCTCTTCTATTATTTTAAAGCAAATCATAGTTATCATCTCATTTATCTGCTCATATTTTAGTTCATATTGCTAAAAAATAAGAACTTTCTCTTTTTTCACAATAGCACACCTAAAAGATTAACAATAATTTCTTAAAATCATGAAATATCCCATCAGCGTTCAAGTTTCCAATTATCTTATCAATGTTTAAAAAATTTTTTACGCTTTATTGGAATCCACACGTTGTAACTGAGTCATATGTCTCAAAGTTTCTTTTAGTCTATGGGTTTCCCTCCATCTCCTTTTTTCCTTGCAATTCTTTTCTTTTAGGAATTGGACCCTTTGTCATTTTGTTTCTTATAGTCTATGTTCTTTGACATTTTTCTCTAGCCTATTTCCAAAAAAAAATGTGTTGTTGGATCTAGTTCACTTGTATCCAATTCAATTTTTTTTTTTTTTGGCAAAATCTTATTTCTTTGTGTTCTTCCATCAGGAGTCACATAACGGGACAGGAGACTATTTCTATCTTATCAGCTGAAATATTTATATAAAGAAAATCTTCCTCACATCTACCGTTTGGTGCAGCTCATGTCAAAAAGGCAGGACAAATGTTTGGTTCCTTTCTTTTAATCACAGATTTTCAAAATAATATATTGGTTTTTGTATCGCCTTTCAATGGTGATTAATATTTTTTTCAGTGTCATTATAAACTCAAGAATTTCGATATATTTGGCGTTTCCTATCTGTGGTGCTCACATTGTCTCATCACTGGCCAACGAGGGCCTCTTAATGTTGGCTCGAGTCTTTTTGTCAATATCCTTGACTTAAAGTCAACTGGAGTGCCATTAATGGCAGCCGGGCCCTGGGCTGCTTGGATAGGAGATAAGTATCCAATTCTGGACTGACCTACCAGCCCCACTCTGGCTACATTGAAGACACTGGCCCTCTCTTATTCATCGCTAACAGATTCACTTACCCAACAGCCAATGGCTTGCTTCTTTGTTTCTATACTTGTAAAGCTCTCTCATCATTTATTATATCATATTATTATATGTCTTCTCCTTGTTTATCTCTCCATCGTCTATGATCTGGTAAATGCCCAAACCAGAGAGCATGACTGCAGCACCTTGTACAAACAGTTTAATAAGCGGTTGTTTTATTATTGGGTTGTTGTTGTGGTGTCAGAGAGGCAGGAGAAGGTATTTTCAGAAGGTATTTCCTGGTGTGGGACGGTGAAGTCCACACACCAGGTGAAGTCCAAGATGTTTTTTCCCAGTAAAGCTGAAAGTCCATATGATCTGCTGAGCTTTGCTTGCTTCATAACCATCTATAATATCAAAGTGGGTTTCTACGTTTAAAAATTCCAAGAAGAGTTTCAGTGTGTCAAGCAAGACTATTTAATAACTTTAATTTCCTTACCCTCACAACAATACAGAAGGAGGTATTATTATCCCATTTTCTCTACGAGGTAACTGGAGCTCTGAAAGGCTGGCTTGCCCAAGGCCACGCCGGAAATGAAGCACGAAGCTGGGGCTGAAACTCAGATCTGGCACTTAGGGCACTAGCCTCTGTTTCCAGCAACTGAGGGCGAACCCTGCTTATTGGATTTGCAAAGTAGAAATTACTTTCAGAGATGTTAGCACAGCGAGCAGAGCGACCTTTCAAAATGCAAATGCGATTCAGGCTTCCCCAGCCTCCTGCTGTCTGCTTGAAGCCTTTCGGAGACTTCCGATGGCTCTTAAAATGAAAGAAAACCTAGGAGGCCCAGAAGCCCTGCACGAGGGGCCTGCTTCCTGCCTACCCCACGAGGTCGCCCTGCCCCTGCCCCTGCTTTGGCCCGCTCTGCCCCAGGTGTCCTGGGCACCACCCTCTGTCACCACCACTCTGCTCTAGCCCTTCTGGGTTTGTATATTCTTTCTTCCGCCTCGGGGCCTATGCACCTGTCATGAGTGCTTCCAAAAGCAGTGTTCCCTCTCCATTACCCTCTCATCCCTCCGATCTAGCTCAATATCTGCTTTTCAGACATGCTTCCCTGTCCTGCCTAACCAAGTCAGACCCCTAATACATGCTCACAGTAGCATGCTCCTCTCCTCTAGAGCATTTACTGGGATGGCTATTTACACTGCTTTGCGGTTTTCGATTGGGGCCCCTAGACCCCGCTGCACTGCAGGTTCCATCCAGGAGGCCAGGAGGTGACCAGGTCTGTGCTTGCTCACCATTATTTCTCCAGCACTTAGCGTGGGGCCTGGTACTTGAAGGGACTCAGTAAATACCAGTTGAGTGAATAAATCAATGCAGGAACGGAGAGCCAGAGAATAAAGCTTCCCTCAGTCTTAGGCAGTAGGTCCTGCATTGGGCTTATCGTTGTCTCTGCCGCCTTGGCTCCCAGAATGACTACAGTTCTGTCAAAGCCACAATAGTTTTGTTAAGGAACTTGCAAATTCTGAAATCGAACCTCCGAGGGTAAGAATCTAAAACCTGGCTTGCTTAGAGGCTCCTGCCAGACTTATCACCAGGGTGACTCAGAGAAAATGTCCTGAGCAAACCTTGGTGTTTGGAGAGGACCCATGGAGCCAGCCAGCCAGCTGCCAAGTCATCGTGAGCCACCCCACCCTCGCCGCCTGTGGGCGAGGCCCAAAGAAGAGGCCCCTCTGTCCGCTTCTGAGCAAAGCAGGACAAGCAGTATAGCATGGGACGGCCCGCGGTGGCTTCGGAGCTCTCAGAACTTGAGTGAGGAGGGGAGGGCTCCTCTCCATTCACAAAGGACTCGATTTAGACTTTTTAAGTTTATTTATTTTAATTTTTATTGGATTTATTGGGTGACATTGATTAATAAAATTATATAGGATTCAGGTGTGCAATTCTATAATACATTATCTGATATTTTATTGTATGTTCACCACACCAAGTCTCCTTCCATCAGTTTATCCCCTTACCCTCCTCTACATCCTCCCACCCCCCTTCCCTCTGGGAGACTTTTGACAATATCTCTAACTAACTTACCCACAGACACACAGGCGTGTCCTACGTCCTTCCTCACCACCTGCAATGCACTAAGACATCATACTGTAACGGAGCACAGCCAGGGCCCCCCAAAGAGGGGATTTGTTATGGGGACCAGAACTTGGGGTGCCCAAGAAAAATATAAGATATTCTCCCACCCACCCCCCAGGCAGGCCACCATGGGGAATGGGAGACAGGGAGCAGGGCCATTGAGAGTTTGTGTATCAATAACAGGCCAGCTTCATACCTGACACAGAGCAGGGCCTTGGAGAGTCATTGTGCATGTCAATTACAGCAGGAGAGCTTCAGAC